TCCTTTCTGAAGCAAGCAGGATTCCACCTTAGGTCCCCCACTTTGCTATCAATGATGATCTCAGTATAAACGTTTCAATTTCGTGTTCCAATTTTAATTAGTTTTTTTTTATGTATGGTAGTTTTGCTTTATGCTGTTGTTTTTTTCCTTTAATTGAGTTTTAGCTAATCTTATTAAAGGTGGTTTTCCTCTTGTTCTGTTTGCTTCCAGATATAATGCCCTGTTCTTATGACTCTTGATTAGAACCAGAATATTATTTATCTTAGCCTATCTCAGTTTCCTCTTCTACCCACCAGCTTTTCTAATAGGGTTTCATTCATATTATCTTATTCACATCCTTCCAAAGACTGAGGCCTGTGGCTAAAAAAAAAAAAAGAAGCCGCAGAATGAGATTCTCCTTTCATCGAGTGTCATACATCATGTAAGAGATAATTTGACATATAATGCCACTTTTGCGCAGTGCTCCCTTAAGTAATAATGATCTGCTAAAAGATGTTAGTCTCTGCCCTATTGCACTGTCCTGTTTGTTTCATTAGTGATTTTAATTTATTATATATTTTTTCATTCTGTGATGGGGGCTTTATCCTACGCACAGAGTGGATGACACACTGATACCAGGAAGCTCTCATCTGTCCATTACATTAGTGTTTCTCAGTGTCTGCTCATGCCCTTATGATGAATCCAGATCACCTTTGCAATATTCCCTCTATAGATATGAGTGCACTCTCCTTGAGAATGAGTCTGAATCATCAGCAATACCCTATAATCCATTCATACATCTAAAGGCCCCATCCACACTCAGACCCTCATTAATATACTTTTTCTAACATCTACAAAGAACATATTGTGTTTTACCTTAAACGACCAGGAAATAGAAATATCAGGGCTGAAAATAGCATTCATACCATTCATCATGCAACCAGAGGGGGGACTTCTCTTACTTCTCTTTGGTGGTGGCGGGCAGGTAACTTTGGTCTGTGTCTCACAGTTCCCAGAAAAAGGTGTGATGTCACGGTCTAATATTCAGCTTCAAATCAAAGGAGCACACAGTTATAGGCATCTGGAAAGCTTCCTGTCGCTGTCTTCAGCCAGCTGGAGGTGTTCATGCTCAATTTGATTCTGAGAGATGGAAAAAGAAACCTAAACGGGACAGCTTGACACACTGGAAACATATTTTTATGCTTTCATTTTTAAAAATCTTACCTTTATTCCCCACATAACAGAACAGGACAAACAAGCCTGTTGTTGTGAAGTCATAAAATGTTAATTAAAAAAAAAATACTTTTTATTTAACACCCTTTAACCTAATTAGAACACAACAATCTACCTTTAGAAGTCACAGGATAAAAAAACAGTCCAGCTGTAACTTAATCTAAACATTAGAGAACAATTAGCATCATAGAGACGAATGAACCCAGCAGACTTTGAGGAAGTGTTGGTTCTGTTTAGAGGGGTGAGGTTATGAAACAATTCCTTAAGTTTAAGAGAGATAAATACCAAACCATACAAAAAATTTACAGTACATCATAATTGAAACAAGGTGGTGGCGGTATTATGCTGGGACAGAAACACTTAATCCAGGACCATCCTGGAATAAAACCTGGAGAAACCCAGCAGGAAACCATCCCTGAATGTCCAGCCAGATACTCAATGGATGGTTTAGATCAAAAGTGTCTTGCCACTTTTAGATTTGTTTCTGCTCTGACACACCTAAGTCACATAATCAGCTCATTAGTTGAACTCTGGAGAACTGAACTGCATGCTGAGGAGGTAATTAAGTTATTAGATTCAGGTGTATTGGACTTGATTTTGATGCTCCAGTTTTAGATCAAAGCAGATGTAAGGGTTAAAATGGCCCAGTTAAAGTTCACACCTGAACCAATTGAGAAATTCAGTTGAACTATTCTTCATAGAAGCTCTTCATTTGATCCTACTGAGCTTAAACTATTTCATAGTCATGTTTAGTAAAGGCCTGCAGCTGTAGAGCAGACAAAGGTAATCCAAGATAAGTTAGAGAAGATAATTGTGAAGAATGAGGCTGCACCATTCAGGTAGTTTTTCACTTCCAAATTTGTGTTCTACTTCTATTGGGGAAAATAGCTTTGTTCTCCCACGTCATATTGCCCTATAACTTTAACTTAATCATCGCACTCTGAAGCTAGCACCCTCTGGAAACCTGATTGAAAGGTCTTATGGATCAATTACCAACATCCCCCCACTAAACACACACAGGGTTCTCAAAGCGCGTATCATTCAATTCATTGAATTTTTTTTTATTAATTTCCAAAGGGAAATTAAATGTTACATTAACTCATAAGTTATTTTTTAATCAGGTGTTGATAACTGTAGACAGGAAGGATCTTCTGTTGCTGTCTGTCTTCCACTGGATCTGGAGAAGCCCTATTGATGCTGATGTTGAAGTTTAAATATCTTCTGAAGAGGATGCTCACTGTTGTACATAATTTTTTTCACTTTATGAAGAATTATTCTTTGTGAAATAATCTCCAATGGTTCTAGAGGACTTCCAAAAACAGAGCTGGCCCTATTAATTAGCTTCTTGAGGTTTTTTAAGTCATTAGCTCTGATGCTGTTACCCTTACAGATGATTTTGGAAGAGATCACTCCCTCCACAACAGACTTATAGAGGATGTGCAGCATATTCAATGAGTCACATTTACAGAAGATACCATGTAGGTCATCTCAGCTGTTCAGGCCACCATCCTCTTCTAATGTTTTGTTTTTATAACATTCCTTTTCTTCTTACATGAACATTTATCAACATGGCATCACTAACATATTTTTAGATGAGGTTAAAAACTTTTCCCAAACAACCATATCCTCAGGGATATTTCAAAAACACTTTGAGTCACTATGACACATCAGTTTGACTTTAATTGGCTGGAACTAGCCCTCAGGTGTTTAGCTGAAACATGTGAAGCTGATAAATCAGATAGCAGAGGCTTCCATCACTTTTCACTTCATTAAAAAGAAAACAAATCCCTTCCTGCCTGTGATGAAGTACATGAGAGCAAAGCACAGTGGTATGTCTTCCCCTCAGCACACCAGGCTTTATTGACCTTTTACAGTGAGGCGCGCAAACAGGGCTTAATTGTTTACTGCCACACGCTGTTTCTTCACTGCGGGCTTTATTCCAGAACTGCCATGTTCTGATGGGTGTAATTCTGGCCTTCGACGTCAATCTGTGTACTTTTTACAGGAGCTCAGAACATCAATGATAGTAGTGATTTATGGCAATCTGCCCAGGGTAGCTAGAAAACAGTGGTTTCACAATGTTATTATTGTTAATAAACGGTCCCCTCGCTTTAGTCAGTGATATTTGTATTATCACTGGTATTTGGATTGATGTCTATAAAGTGTATGCAAAATCATCAGTTCAGTTTTTAGGGTGTCTGTGGTCCAGGACCTTGGGTTAGCTGGATCATTCTGTACTAAACCGAGAATCTTTAAACATTATTTCAGGTCAACGAGACTTTTACTTTAAAGGAATAGTACACCCAAAACATGATTAGCCTTCATTTTCTACTCACCCCCATGCTGAACAACACTCTGGAGTACTTTTTTGATATCTCAAATGCATCTGGAGATCTGGGAGGCTTCTTGCTGTCTGCTGACATTTAAATAATGGAGGTCTATGGTGACCGAGACAGAAAGGTCCATAAAAGTCCACAAAAAACGTGTCAATATTCCTCCATACTGCTCGTCCAATGTATTCCAAGTGTCCTGAGTGGGTAGCATCCAGAATTTACTCGAAACGAAGTCATTTAGAATGTTTTTAGAGCATAAACAGTAGTGTATAGGATTTCCTGAAAGTGCGCGCCAGCGCGTTCAGGACGCTACGGAAGCTGGCAGACCAAACCAGATGAAAGTGCGCATTCAGCGTCTGCTCTGCCAATAATGCAAGCGTAGAAGAAGAAATGTGCTGTTTACCTGTGCAAAGAAAGAAACAACGAAAGAAAAATGTCTGAGGACTTCAGTGTTGAGGAAGAGCATGAGTTCTTTGCCGAGCTGAATGCGCTGGTTTGGTCTGCCGGCTTCCGTAGCGTCGTGAGCGTGCATGTGCGCGCTTTCAGGAAATCCTATACACTACTGTTTATGCTCTAAAAACATTCTAAATGACTTCGTTTCGAGTAAATTCTGGATGCTACCCACTCAGGACACTTGGAATACATTGGACGAGCAGTATGGAGGAATATTGACACGTTTTTTGTGGACTTTTATGGACCTTTCTGTCTCGGTCACCATAGACCTCCATTATTTGAATGTCAGCAGACAGCAAGAAGCCTCCCAGATCTCCAGATGCATTTGAGATATCAAAAAAGTACTCCAGGGTGTTGTTCAGCATGGGGGTGAGTAGAAAATGAAGGCTAATCATGTTTTGGGTGTACTATTCCTTTAAAATCCAGAAGTGATTTGTATTTTATGTTTTCAAAAAGAGACAATAAATGAATGAAAAAATATTTAGACAATGTACTGCGACAACCACTGAAGCTGAAATTGATTATTTCTGTAATCACTACCCTGTAATATAACCCTTTCTGTTTGTCTAACCGTCTGTCAGTCTAGTTTACTAATTAAGATCTGGGATTTTTGGGGTTTTTTTTTGTTTTTTTTTTGTATGTGACCTAGAATGGGAGTTTTGATCACAACCTTCGATTCAAAGAGAACCACTTCTGTCATCCTGTTAAATTTATAGATAAATAAATAATTCTGGTTCATTCCAGGCTGCTCTACAGCAGGTGGACATTAATCCACTTAGGAACTGAAGATACAGCAGCTGGAAACCAGACTGGAAATGGAAAAGGGACACTTGGTCATCTAATAAACTTCACCAATGAACAGGTAAACTGCTGGAAGTGACGTCAGCCCCATCCAACCAATCACAGTCTTTTCACAGACACCTTTTTTGGTAATCCGCTTTGGCGTTGGGAGCTGTCTGTTCAGCACCACACTGTGCGCGCTCTCTGCGCCAGAAATAGTCTTATTAGTGCGGGCAACATTAGCGGGCTTACAGTGACAGACTCACACTTGATCGGATTTTCTTGCTTTTGCTCCTTGGTCATGGCGCTGCTCAGAGGGAAACGGCAATAAAGCCCGGACCTCCTGCCGACCAAGTTTTACGCAAAGAAACTGCGGAGTTTTGGGGTCAAAGTTCGGAGTTTTCACCCTGCAGGTCGGTTCTCTCTGACCGAACCAGGATGTTTTCACTCTTGTGCGGATTATTATGCTTTTGCGCGCTAAGCGCTCAGCCTGATGATGGAAAGCGGTTCATCTGCCGGGCAGTACCCATCAGCGGTGATGTCGGCTGCCCTGTGACATTACTGCCGGACCTCAGCGTCGGAGGTCAGGAAGAGGAGCTCCGGAACACTGTCATGCAGCTACGGGAGACGATTCTCCAACAGAAAGAGACGATCTCCAAGCAGCTGGGGACCATCAACGAGCTGACCACCAAGCTGTCCCTCTGCGCCTCGGCCATTACAGATAGGAAGTACGGAAAGGGGGCTTCGTGGGGGAAAGAGAAGCAGAACACGATGGGAGACGTCCCCACAGACCCAAACGACTCCATAGATAGCCTGGGGAAAACCATGCAGGGGCTCAAAGAGCGCCTGGAGAACCTGGAGGTAACCTATTGCCGCCAGTAGCCTTAAAACAGCACAAATCCCGTGCGTAAAACCGCTGTTTGATTAGTATTTGTAACAATAATAACGATAATAACACAATAAAGCAGTTTTTCTAATTTGAATAATCATACATATTAATTGCAGAATAAGTATTTTTAGAAGGGCTACACTAATCAGGTGCGCTTCAAGATTCAAAGGCGGTTCAGATAGAGGCCACTAATCATCCAAACTGGGCAGCTTTGAGGTCATGAAGTTTTGGAAAGGTTTAGTTGTAATGGTGGTAAAAAAAAAGAAAGAAAAAGATTTTAAATGTTGTTTTTTGGTACCTGAATGTTTGCAATCTTCTAAGTTAAAAGTTCTTCCCTGGTCCCCAAACATGTCATTCGGTTATAATGTGATAAAAAAGACAAAAAAATAAAAATAAAAAATTAATAAAAGATAAATGCTGTTATGCCCCAGAGCTAACCCCTCCCCTCTTTTTATTATGTATTCCTTCTATCACTCTTAATTTGCCTCATTCATATAAAGAAAATGGCCCAAATGATACCGAAAACCCTTAACAGCCAGAATTATATCTAGAACTAAAAAAAAAAAAAGAAAAAAAAAAAAAGTAAGAGCAACAAGCATGGTGATGTAATCATCTCTTGGAAATCTCCTTTGGTTGAATGCACCTGATTACCTTGTGTACTTCCTGTTGATGATCTCCTCCACTCCTTCTGTAGCAACAGCAAATGAGGGCCAACTTATCCGGAGCCTCGTTCCCCAGCGAACTTCGCGACCTGCTTCAGCGTCGGCTCGGGGAGCTGGAGAAACAGCTCCTGAAGAAAGTCAGTAGCCTGGAGGAGGAGAAGAGCCAGCTGTCCAACGCCACGGCCGCTTATAGGCTGAAGACAGAGAGCACCCTGAACGCACTGGTGGAGAGAATCAGCGAGCTGGAGAAAGGTACAGAGAACCTAAATGTCTTCCTTAGGAGCCTAGGATGGTCAGAGATTCATCACCTCACAGTCATTTCTATTCACCTCCATATTTATTTCTTTGCAGACAAATATCACAGATTGTTTTGTGACAAACAAGTTTGGAATTGAGAATAGTTGTAGTTCTAATACATAAAGATATGTTGGTTTTACCTGTAAACGCTCTAACCTTCCTTTTGTTTTACCTTTAAACTAGGTGGGGGAGACTTTAAGTCCCCTGAGCAGTTTAAGCTGTCCCTCCCTCAAAGGACCAACTACCTCTATGGCCGAATCACCAAAACCTTGCCAGAGATGTATGCCTTCACCCTCTGCATGTGGATCAAGTCCAGTGCCAGCCCCGGTGTCGGAACACCTTTCTCCTATGGCGTCCCAGGGCAAGCTAATGAGATTGTGCTGATAGAGTGGGGGAACAACCCAATCGAGCTGCTCATTAATGACAAGGCAAGCAGCCGGGCTGATGTTGAGTAAGATGGCAGAATAAAACAGAAAGCCTTATAACGTAAAATATTGCTGTGGTTCAGGTTGCCCAGCTTCCCCTGGAAGTAAGGGACGGCCAATGGCACCACATCTGCATCTGCTGGACCACACGAGATGGCCAGTGGGAGGCCTACCAGGACGGGGAGAAACTGGGAACCGGAGACAACCTTGCGGCATGGCACCCCATCAAACCTGGAGGAGCCATCATCCTGGGGCAGGAGCAGGTAACCACATGCAGCTCTGCTCTCAGGACCACACAAATGATTTTTTAAGAGAATCAAACCATCTTCATCTTTCTTATACTTCATTTAGGCCAGACATACCCAATATCGGTCCTGCTGGGCTGCTGTATTGCAGTTTTTGAAGGTTTCCTTGCTTCTGCACAGCTAATTTCCATTTATAGCTGATTAACAGGCTTTTGATTAGCTGTAGTCATCAGAATCAGCAATGCTGAAGCTGAGAAATATTGAAAATTGTAGGACAACGGCCCTTGAGGACCGACTTTGGGCATGCCTGATTTAGGCCATAACTTTAGGGTGTGATATCAGCTTGATCCCCGCATAAACAGTACTGGTTAAAAGCAGAGAAAAAGGGAGGGGATTTTTCGTAGCCTTAAAATTATGACAGTTTCCCTCTGTTTTTGATTTTTCAAATCAGTTTGTAAATTCAAACTTAAGCTTTTAAATGACAATTTGCTTTACAAAGAAAAACAAAAACAAACTAAGTATAGAATAGAATAGAATCAAAACCAGCCTGGATTAAAAGATTAATTAAATGTGATTAACCACATTGTTTGGTAACTTTACATAGATTTTGCTTCCACACTGAGGTATTATAACTGCCCTGAACTATTCAATCAAGTACTCACCTAAAAGGAACCTACTGCATCTCACAGCAAGAATTAGTCTGAAAGATATCTGGGAAACAAAACATTATGGTCTCTTCTACCAAAAGACCAGAGCACTGCTGGCCCAAAAGCACACAAAGGCCTGCCTCTTGTTTGCCAAAAATAAACATCTTGATTATCATCCAGACCTCTAGGAAAATGTTCTGTGGACTGAACAGTTAAAAGTGGATATTTTATATTTGTTTGGGTGATGTTACATCTGGACCCGGTGTAACCAGACACAATACTTCAGGACCCAATTTTGCTGTCAAACACGGTGGTGGTACTGTGGTGGTTTGGGACTGCTTTGCTTCTTCAGGACCTGGAGAACTTTAAACTGATGGAACCAGAAACCCTGAAGGGGATGGTCTGAACCTCAGTCCGTGGGTTTTGTATTTAATCAGATTATCTTTGTCAAATAGACCCTTATTGATCATCTCAAGCAATGAGTTTGGTCACAATAGAGGATCTACTACTGGATGCTGATTGGTTGGTGTTTCTCTGTAAAGTTTTACTTTTATGCCTCATTTTGACAATGTTAACTGTTTGGACCCTGAACCCCAGAAAGCTGAAAACAGGCTCAACTTAAAGCTCAAAACCTTATTCCACCTCAAAACCTTTTTTCTCTGGGTTTCCAGGTGGTTTCCATGTGTTTTTTAAGATGGATGCAGACAATTTTAACCCTAAACACCTTATACTGTAGATGATATCCTGCAGAGGGAAGGGAAGTAATGATAATCCACTAATGATTCTGATTCAGTACTGTATAAAATCATCATTAGCTTCTGCTAGCCGTTTAAAGCAGACCCTTCAAAGTTGTTTAAGTCTTTCCTTGAACTCTTGGTCGGATTTTGTTCAGGACTTTGACTAGGTCATTCTAACATATGAATATAGTTTGATCTAAATTGTTCATCGTATCTTTAGCCAGGATGTTAAGGGAAATTTTCCTTCAGGATTTTCATGTATTTATCTCCATTCACCTCTTATCAACTGTTATAAACTTCTCTGTATCTAATGAAGAATAGACTACCCACTGCATGATGCAGCCTCCATGTGTTTCTCTGTGAGGATGTCCAGGGGGATGTGCAGTTTTATTTCTATACTTGTTTTATGCAAGCCAAAATGTTTTGTTCTCATCTAATCATAGCTGTTGAAGCACGACCAGAACGGACCTTCATTTAAAAGGGGTTCTGGACACTGTTTTCAACATTCAAAGTTCGTGCCTCCATCAAAGATTGCCATAGGACTATATTTGACCTATGATAGACAAACACAAACATTAGGCAATTAAACCCCACTTTGTAGACATACTTAACATTGGCATTCCTGTTGCTGACTTTGCTATTTATGACCCTCACAGGATGTGGTAGGCGGGCGTTTCGATGCTGGACAAGCTTTTGTGGGTGAGCTGAGTCAGGTGAACATTTGGGACCGTGTCCTGAAGCCCGTGGAGATCCAGTCGATGGCAAACTGCAGCTCCTATCTCGCCGGTAACGTCATTTCCTGGCTGTCGAGCAATGTTGAGGTTTTTGGGAGGGGGGCATTTAAGCGCCCCCTGGAGATATGTCAGGAGAGGCTGCCAAAGGTTTAGAGCTTTTTGTTTCTGTCCCTGGTGTTATTATTTCCATCAGCTTAACAAATGACCGTTTAAGCGACTGACCACTCTTACTGTGAAACCTGTACACTACTCAAAAACATAAAGGGAACACTCAAATAACATATCCTAGATCTGAATGAATGAAATATTCTCATTGAATACTTTGTTTTGCACAAAGATGAATGTGCTGACAACAAAATCACACAAAATCATCGATGGAAGTAAAATCTATTAACCAATGGAGGCAATGGAGTAACATAAAAAATGAAAGTGTAAAAACACACTACAGGCTGATCCAAGTGTGATCTAATGTCCTTAAAACAGGTCAAAATATGTGTGTATGTATGATCTCCCTACAATGCCTGGGCATGCTCCTGATAAGGTGGTGAATGGTCTTCTGAGGGATCTCCTCCCACACCTGCACTAAAGCATCTGCTAACTCCTAGAAAGTTTGTGGTGCATTGTGACGTTGTTTGATGGATCGAGGCACAATGTCCTAGATATGCTCAATCTGATTCAGATCTAAGGAACTACTTGCAGGAACTACTGACACACTCTGGCTGCATGAGGTCTTGCATTGTCTTGCATTAGGAGGCACCCAGGACCAACCACACCAGCATGTGGTCTCAATAGGGCTCTAAAGATCTCATCTCGGTACCTAATGGCAGTTATGCTACCTCTGCCAAGCACATGAAAGGGTGTGCTGCCCTCTAAAGATATGCCAGCCCACAGCATTACTGACCCACTGCCAAACCAGTCATGCTGAAGGATTTTGATGGCAGCAGACCAATCTCCACAGTGTCTCTAGCTCTGTCACATCCATCCCATGTGCTCAATGTGGAGATGCTTTCATCTGGGAAATCACAGGGCGTCTGTGGCCAATTCACCAATCCCGGCATTATCTGGCAAAGGCAAACATACAGCACAGTGTTGGGCTGTGAACACAACCCCCATCTGTTGATGTCAGACCCTCATACCATCCTCGTGGAGTTGGTCTCTAACTGTTTGTGCAGGCACATGCACATTTGTAGCCGGATAGAGGTCATTTTGCAGGGCTCTGGCAGTACTCCTCCTGTTCCTCCTTGCACAAAGGCAGAGGTAGCAGTTCTGCTGCTGGGTTATTGCCCTCCTGCCGCCTCCTCCACGTCTCCTGGTGTACTGGCCTGTCTCATTGTAGCACCCCCAGCCTCTGGACGCTATGCTGACAGACACAGCAAACCTTCCTGCCATAGAGGTGCTGTCCTGGATGGCCTGCACTACCTGAGTCACTTATTTGGATTGTAGAGTCTGTCTCATCCTACCATGATTGTAAAAGCACCATCAACATTCAAAAGTGACCAAAACATCAGCCAGAAAGCATAGGTACTGAGAAGTTGTCTATGGTCCCTGGCTGCAGACCATTTTATTGAGTGTTTCTTGCTAATTGCTTATTGTGTCTACCTGTTGTGTATTCCATTTGCACAACAGCATGAACATTCCTAAGTGGATGGTTTGATCTCACAGAAGTTTGATTTGAGCTAATATTGTGCTGTTTACGTGTTCCCTTTATTTTTTGAGCAGTATATTATAGCTAGCTTCAATTAACCAGCAGCATGAATGTAAGAATAATTCAGATTTTTTAATGATTTCGTTCTAAAGCCCATTTTCTGGTTGGACAACAGCCTACATCATCTTTACCCAGTTATTCACAAAGGGGCCTGTTTAGGGGTACGGTTGGGGCTTCGCTCTGCTGCCAACCTCCAGCCATCATTGGGTCTGAGAACAAGATTATAGTTCAAATTTATTCTGTCTTCTCTAACTCATACAGCCTTAGAGTGAAACTGTTTATAAACAGAAGTGAGTTAATTTAAAAAAAAGTTCCTTTAGAATTGGCAGAGAGAACATGTTTTATATCCATCAAGGAGCCTCTGTCTGGAAATTAGAGGGTCTCTGTAATCAGAGATGGTCAAAGCCATTCTAGAAGCTTAATGTCTGCCTTCTTTAAGGGAATTCTACAGAGGTTTCAATATGGGTTTGGGACATTTGTCCTATTGGGACGTGTCCAAAATGTAGCCATCTCAACGAAATGGTTTCCCTGTATGATGTAGGGAAATTGACGGAAGCTCTCAGTCCTAAGAATATAACTACAAAGCATGGTGGGGGCAGCCTTGTGTTGTGGTTCTGGTTGAAGTGGATGGGATGATAAAAAAAGAGGACAACAAAAATGCTTTAATAATTTTACCAAACTTAGACACAGTTTATCGCATTTGGTTGTTACTGAGGGCCCAAACACAGGCAGGCTACACACTTTCCAGGTATTGAGAAATGACTTCCAAACTGAAACATGGAAAACATTGGAATAACAGGGAAACATGGAGAATACCTGTAGAAGAACAGGGAGCTACAGCAGAAATGGGAGAACACCCATTTTAATTAGATTCAAATAAATGAGCTTAACCAGATCTTATAATATTTGATCAAACATTCAGCCAGAAGCTTAAAAAAGTCTACAGAGATTTTTTTTTTTATCTGAAACTTGTCAAAGGGCATGCATCCAAACAATGAGTGTTTTGGGATTTTTAGGTCTGTATTTATTTTTTATTTAAGAAATCCATAGCATATTGAAACATGCACCCACTATCCTTGTTTTTAAAAACCCATGAAGTTGTCAGATGTCCACAAAAGCCCAACCGTCCAAAGAAATAATTAAAAGTCCTAAATATATGTTTAAAAATATAAAATAATATTCATAATACACCTTTGCATGATTAGATGATCAGACCTATTGATGTTGAGGCAGCTGATGTGTGAAGGCCAGGTAGAGTGGGTCTCTGAGGACACCATGAGCTCCTTACAGGTCAGGGTGAGGGTTCTGAGTCCCTTCATGGGGCAGAGCTCCCTCAGGCATTAAAGCCGCCTCTTCTTCAGCAGCTCCCTCTCATCCTGGACCACTTTGCTGCTGGGGAACTCACTGCTGCGTGGAAGATGCTAGAAAAGATTAAAGTCCGCCTAATGAGCTTACAGAATCATTAGGCTGGTTTCACACCTCCTCATGTTGTGGTAGAAATACTACGTGGAACTCTGCCTGTGGTCCGCCTGATGGCCGGTGGGGTTTAGTTCATTTCTGAGTCCTTCCCAGTGCTTTCTCTCTGGCCTTCTCCTCCCCCACCCAATGCTGTTACTCATAGTGCTGTAAATTAATTTTTATTTGAGATGCTGTTTCTGTGTGTTACATTGTAGAGAACGTATAAACCCATAAACAGCTTTTAAGTATGTATTTTTTGAATGTAAATTATTATGTAAAAGTTCCTATTGTTAAAGCTTTTCTGTGTAAGCATAGCCCATATTGCCTCATGGCCTTCCCATGGATGTTTAAGTGCCATTAATTTTTTTTTTTTTTTACATGCTTTGACCTCACATAATGAGCAAATAAATCAATGTTGCACATCAAATTTCCTTCTGTCTTTTATTTGTTTTTTTTCCCTCAGTTGTGATAACCTGTGTTCTGTATTTAACCCCGGGAGATTGAACGTTGATGAACTTAGTCTGTGCTTAAGGGTGATTGCTCATCAGTTTAGAGCCCCCTGGTGTCCTGTATCTGTTAAGCTGGTGAAACAGGTGTGACGTGTGTTGTTACCAGCACAGGTTGCGTGGGATCTTCAGGCTCAGTCAGCTCGGGTCAAACAACAGGTGCGCTTTGTGGTATTAGCAATGCTTAACTGATGGTAGGAGGTCCAGTGGGAAGCTGGTGCCATCAGAAACTGTTCAGAAAGGGTTCTGTGATGTTTTATTTTCAACCTCTGAATTTAATCACTATTTTGTCAAAGTCTTATACATTAAAATGTCAATTTATAAACCAGGATAAATAGACTACAAAACCAGGATCTCATAGTATTTGATGTGGTGAAGAGAACCTTTTTGAAGTCCAAACTGCGTCAGACTTTTAAATAGTCTAAAAACTCAACTACCGGTAGGCAGCAATTGTTAAAAGATTCTAAAGTTAAGATGAGAAATATTTGTGTTTGATATTTTTTTTTCTTGGTTGTTAATATACTTCCTGGCATTAAAATGTTATCCAATGGAAGCTAGTTTACTTGCTGTAGATGCTGACACATTTCTGGGGTCAGCATCTACAGCAATGCTGTAGGTAATTCTGGTAGGTAATTCTGCTGCTGAGTCTTACCTTAAACTTATGAAATCTCAGGTCAGCGGCTAAGGGCTAAGTTTAGCTTCTAAGCGTAACCTCTCCAAGGAGGCAATCTTTTGCAAATATGGACTAGGCTTTTATTTTTAGCTGGTTTTCCAATTCACAATCAAGGTTTGTAGGTTGATGCCACTGACTCTTTCTAGTCAGACAATCATACAATCTTGTAGGCATGATGCAGTCTATTAACAACAAATTTATATAAACAAATGTAAAAAAAAAAAAAGTTGTGCATATAGTGCATCAGATGACGCTGGGGGTATTTATAATGGTAGGAATATATACCATTAGAGCTTATTATTGTATTTGTGTTTATTCTTATAGAAAACTACCGTAAGCATTAAACATATGATTAGTTTCTGGGTTTTATTAAGAGTATTATTGCATAACTTGAGAAGAGAAGAATATGTTTTAATGGAAGGGATGGAATGAAGTAAGTTGTACTTTTGAATGATAAAAATTGTAACAGAACTGTTTCCATTTTTATTGTTTTTTATCTATGTATTCATTTTTTGAACTCTTTTTAGGGTATTTGTTAAAGGATGACTTTACTTTATTCTTTACAGGTTTGAATTAAACAAATGCCACTAGAGGACAGCATGGAACCACATGGAGGCCAAACGTTTTTGCAATATACAGACTCTTTTAGTCTGCACCCGTCACTTTAGATTCTAATCAAAAAGTAACCCCAGATAAACCAAAAATGGAAAAACTGAAAAATCAAATGTCAGACACATTTTATAAGTGAACAGGTGTGATAAATGCTTTTTGTTGCACAATTTGGGTTTATTGTGTCAATCATATATTTTCACTAGGGTGGCGTCTAAAAGCTAAGTTTATGCTTTCTCATTCAGTCTTTCACCCAAATGATGTGATCTTAGTGGCCACGCCCCTCACCGCAAGGTCCAAACTGCCTGATGTAACAAACCGTTCACCTTGAACAATTTATAATTAAGCAGACTTTCCATGCAGGAAAACATGGTAAACTAGCAAAAGCTAGAGTTCGTTAATATAAATATCTTGAGACATCGTATAAATTTACCCATAGAAATACAACATAGGCTCAGGTAGAGCCCTCTGTTGAATGTTAAAATGGCCCAGCCTATTGTTTTTTAAGTTGTTGATGAAAACTTACTTCTTTGCACCGGCCTTCAACACAAGCTGAGCAGGTCTCATGTGTTACCATTATTTATTTGTTTCTTTTTTAAATGTTTGTTTATCTTGTAATCATTGTTTTTACCTATTTATTGCACTTATAATGCTGTTGTAGAGCATTATGGTCAACTTTAGCTGCTGTTAAATGTGCTATATAAATAATGCTGACATTTACATAAATATTTCCACAATCATCAGCTTAAGAAACGAAAAGAAATTAGTTGGTGGCATGAAGAGGCTTTGAGAATGTTGGAAAAATCTACTTCTACATGTGTGCTGTTGTAAGCTTGTAGTCTGAACCCTACAGTCTGCCAGAATATAAGTTAACGGGGGTAAAAGACACACAGAGTATGACATGTAGGTGAAGCATAACTGAACCTCACTGACAAGCCGCCACGTATTGTTTTATAGAATCAAAAGTTTGGGAAATGCCTCCTTAACTGATGACTGCTTCTGATTTTCTAAACAGAAATCACTCTTATTATTGACTACTGAAGACAAGATTCTGACCTTTTATATGCACTCAACGGAACCCATTTATTAATATGTTTCCATTTCTATTACACTCAGTGTTTAAACATAAACTGAACCTGAGCTGATTTATTTTATTTATTTTAATTTCAACCTTAGCAATCTGACTTTATTATTATCAACAGTTAACAACTGCAAAGCTCAGTTTGCCTTCATAGCTTGACAAATTAGTTTTTTTTAACCCAGACACACAGGAACTAATTCAACTTTATTTGACAGGATAATCCTGATCATGCACAGAGTATCATATATGTTGAGTATGCAGAGCTACATGATGCAGGAGGCTCAAAGAGAACAAATCCAGGAGCAGTTAGGGGATTAAGAACCGTACTGGGTTCCATGCTGCAGGATGAGTGGCTCTTGCTCTCCTTTCTCCACAGAGGAGAAGGACAAAATTATTTTACTTTGGCCTTCACGACCTTGGTCCTTTAGGAATGCAGCGTTACTGGAAGCAGGAGCCTGAAACAAAGAAATGATCAGACATCAGCCTGGAAAACTTGCATGTCTGACAATTGATTTAAAAAATAAAAATCCATAGCCAGTCTTGTGATGTTCAACAAATGAATCACATTTCAATTATCAAGTTTAATATGTGGTGTATTTCGAGCCAACTTTGATCATATCCAACAGAACCTCTCTGTCAACTCCATTGAAAAGGGAATCTAATGAGGAGATCACTCACTAACATCTACAGCCTTATTTAAGAACAACTTCAGCACTTCATCCTGACACAACTTGGTAATGATCTACATGGACCTTAAAATAAAAGACTACTGAATGCTACCAGGGCTATATCAGGCTAAAATATGTCACCACACTGTATTATATAATACAACACCTCTATATACTAGACCATATTATACTAAGCAACAGAGAAAAAACTACTTCAATTTGCTGTGGTTTTATGGTATTACTCATTATTTTTTTTCTTGTTTTATTTTAAAGAATTAAATGCACAGAATTAATAAAAGAATTAATATGACAAGGCATGCTCTACATTACAGCATGGAATATAGATTTATTTATTATGACTGACGGTATTTAGGTATTTTAAAAACATTGGAAAAACTTAAATTTGACAGAAAAAAACATTGTCAGAACAATAAATAAATAAATAATAATAATAAAAAAAAGTTGCTACATTTACAAGAGAACTTTGTAAATTATCAGGTCAGTACCTGTGATTTTCTTTGTTTCCAAGGGCGACAGGCAACGACAGTTATGAAGGCAAAGGTTGCAACAAGAACAGCAGCGCAGGACAGGATAAACAAGACCTGGGTAGAATCTGCAGGAGGCAAACATATGAGGAACCAGTGTGAGAGATTTTCCAATACTCCAGTAAAATTTAAATTTGATACCCGGATGAAATGTTTTCAACAACTTTCTACAGCTTTGACAAAAAAAAAATCTTAATTGGAGTGGATCTCAATTAAAATCTAGAAGCTGAAAATCTAGTTTAGCTCCCCCTACTGGCACAAAATATAACAACATTTTTCTAGGAAGGTTTCAGGTAATTTATTCCTGAAACAAGAGAAAAAAATCAAGAGGCATTCAACCTTATTGGAATTACTTTCAGATTTAAGTCAGGTATTATTTTCCAGGGGTTGTGTTCTGGTGAGATGGTGAAAGGAACTCTTGATCTGTGGGTCTTTTAGGTCAGTAGCCCACTGGTAAAGAAATTTAAGCCAAAATGAAAGAGCGTCAGTGATCACCATCATAAGTACTTGCAGTTCGGAAGGAGGTAGGAAGAAGAAGCAGGATGCTTCCTACCAATAGTACATTCAGTATATGGACCTCTGGACGTTCCATTGAGGCGATTAGGAACTATACAGATTCCCACAATCCTTTTCATATGCAAGAGATTGTGGACATCTTTAAATTTTAAAATTTTGTGGGTTTTATCATGAAGAGTGTCATTTGTAAACTTGTGTTTTTGTAGTTTTTTTTTTTTTTTTTTGAAGGGCTGTAGTCCCCTTTTCGGCTCAACCATCCATGTGTGTTTCTATCCCATAATGACGAGCCAAGCACACGGTCACCATACTCAGCAGACCAGTGGGAAACTCCTTTCCTAAGGAGGAAGAACAGGAGGTAGGAGCTACAATTTTCCCAATTCAGAATCAGCCATTGTTTTTTTTAGCCTTGGTCTCAAAGACACACTATCCTACAGGTCTTAGATGTTTCTGTGCTTTAATAACATACTTCAAATCACTGTAAATCAGCAGAAATTAATCAGCTACCAATTAAAATCAGCTGTGCCGAACCAGTGAAACATCTTAAACATGCACCTTTTTCAGGTGATCCAGCCCCTTGTTAGAGTGGACCAGGTGTATCTAAAGCTGCCCATCAAGGGCCGCTGTCTGGCAAGTCTCAGGCTGCGTCTGAACGTCCGCCCTAATCACTATATAGTGAACGCACCATTTTAAATGAGTGCCTGAATGTCTACTGGACTAAAAAATATCGGACTTGAGATTTCCCACAATGCACCTTGAAAAGTAGTGATCATCCAAGGTCACTAGATGAGGAGATATATCTCAGATTGCTTTGTGAGAGCTCTCCTTGCAAAACATTACAGGATTTTGGCGCAGGAACCATGCGGGGAGGCTGAGTCACGTGATCAACAGGGAGCAAAAAGCAGTGATCATCTGTCCAACGGTAAATTAACTGAGTTCACTATAAAGTCCACTATATAGTCCCCACTCTATATAGTGATTGAGGGATTCAGAGGTTAGGGTGGACGTTCAGACACAGCCTTAGATGTTTCTGTGGTTCAGCACAGCTGATTTTTATTGATTGCATAATGTATGAATAACAGTCATCTGATTCAGGTGTATTAAACCATGGAAACATCTAACCCTTCAGATTTAAGCAGCCCAGCAGTAGATCATCCCTCTCAGCACTAAGCAGTAAAGTTGTTAAAAAGAGTCCTGTCCTTTCGATCACACGCCTAAAACAGATCCCAGCTGAAACAAATCAATTCAGCACAGCTGACATGTGAGGAGCAGACACACTGGCCTCACTCTGCGGGTGGGAAGCCAAAAAAAACCCCAAAACCAGTGCTACTGCTGAGAATCCCCCTTTAATACATAATAAAGACAAAGAGTCATTGACTGTTGGGAGAGTTATAAAATGGTAAACCTTTAATATGCTCTGTGTCTGTTGATTTATTTGGACCGAAGGCTATTGAGGAAATGTAATCTATTAATATATTCTTAACCAAATAAAGCTAATAAAGGATTTAGCCCTTTTTTATATAATTCAAAGGATTTTAAAAGTCTACAAAAATCTAATGCTCACCTTTCCTGCCAACATAGAGGCTGAAGGAGGTCTCCATCTGGCTGATGTCGTTGCGGACGCTGACGTCAAGGCAGTGGACACCAGTGGAGGTGAAGGTGTGGTTCAGCCCCAGGGTGTTGTCATACAGCATGGTCAGGGTGCAGCCAGCCGTCGGGTCAGGCAGGCAGTTATTCAGAACCCGCAGGCAGACCCACATGGGAGGACTGGGGACACACAATGGAAACTGGGTTTGTTAAAAAGTCTTTGCTCTACTTCTGGGTTCAGTAAGAGAAATCCCCAAAGGTGGGACTTTATTTGGATAGAAGAATGTTTCTGTCTAAGCGCAGCCTACCTCCCATCCACATGGACGGCCAGACTGGAGCCCTGGGACACCCTGTAATCCGATGGCCCCTCCAGTTCAATGCTCTTAATTGCATCTGAAAATGTAAAGTTTGTTGATCAATTGTTCAGTTCTGATCCAGTAGTACCTAAAACAGTAGATATGGCTCATATAAGACTCCTTGGCTGCCTAGATTAATGCCTGCAGCGCTTTGTTAAAGTTTTATTCCATCTAAATATTTTTCAAATTATGTGGAAATACCGATAATCATCAGTTAGGATTCAAATTTGAAACACTTACTTATATTTCACTATCTAAACAAAGAAAACTAAAGCATTGTATCAGTTTGTCAGTAACTGCTAATTTTGATCAGACTAAAACATGAACATCTGTGTCTAAATATATCTATGTAAGCTTTAAGGAACCATTTTTCTGTAAGTATTAAAGTGTACAAACCAAGCACTTGGACATCCTTGGAGTAGACTCTTGTTATCGGAGCATATTGCTCCAGATTCACTTCTACTTCCAGCCTCAGGGTGTAGTTTCCTGTTTCTAAGTAACGAAAGCGGACCACTGGTTCGGTTCCCTGGATCACCTCTCTGCATCAAACACAACAGTGAACAGAAACACTCAAAATCCATCAAAACGCACATCGTCCATGTCCTACCCGTTCCCCAGGTCCAAGGTGTAGGTGAACTTTGCGGCGCTGAGGGTCCTCTGAGGATCGAAGAGTTCAAACATGATCTCTGTGGGAACATCTGAAGCCAGGTCTCCGGTGTCTCTCACGTAGGTGGCGTCGCCCTCCGTTTGATAGAAGACTATCTTCCAGTCAACGTTCTCTGTTGTAAACACACATGTTTTCCAAGGTAAATACAGGAAATCTTTGCTTCTGAAGTAGTCTGGGTACGCTGCAGGACATACCCAAATCTGTTCCAGCTACAGCTGAAATAACCATCAAAAGATGCACCAGTATCCAAGGAGGATGCTTGCTGTTTGAAGACATTAAAAAAGAGTTCAATATGGATTTCTAGCAGATAAACATAGTAATATTTAAAATTTACCTGTTCATATCTGCTGGTTTTCTCCTTCAAACACCACAACAGTCTGAGTGGATGCAGTCAGTGTGGATAGATGCGAGGGAATGAGCAGCTGAGGGTCACCTCTGGCTTTTGAGATTCAGAGCATGCAAATGAGCCTGAAATTAGGAGCATGTGTTTAAAGTCACGAGGAAGAGGAAAAACAAAAAGCTTTTGGAAGAGACTGTGGGCTTTTTTCTTTTTGGTGAAGATTGATCATTAAGGTAGATCTGGTGTTTCCCTTTGAAATAAAAATGACAGCTACTTGTTTGTTTGAGAAACAGCAGCTGGATAAGTCCAGCAGCTCAAAGGGGTAGATATTTACTGACAGAGATGAAGAATTGATTTTCTAAATATTTCATTTTATTTCCTACATAACTAAAAAAGTAACTGAAGTGACTGAGGTGGGAGGATTCAAGTTATTGTATTTTGATTGGCCGTTGAGTTTTTCTTTCTTTTTTTCTTGTATAAAACATGCAAAGAAGGGAATCAGCCAGTTTAATCCAGCTAGAAAACGTGAAATTGATTAAAAGCGAATATTTCACTTTCTTAGAGGAGCAAGCAGTGTTGTGCAGGATGTTTGATCACCACTGTGCTTCTCTTTTAGCGCTGCTATTGTTCAAATCGGACCAGATCCATTAAATAATATGAGGGCTGTTTCAGGTGACACTGAAGATAACAGGGATACAAGCTGCTGACCCCCTAATACCTATGGTTATTTCACTATGTTTATCTATAAATATAAAGTGAAGTAATTATGATCTATTTTTAATTGAATTTTTGTTTATAAAATGACATTTATTTATGAATTTGATAATCTTAAATGTTAATTTGATTATTTATTGGAACATCTAATGATGTAATTGTGCAATTTCTAATTTCAAGTTATATTTGAATCATGTATTAGATAAATAAATGTTAGATTTACTTATTTCATTGAAAATGTATTTAATTAATGAGGCATTAAGTTATTTTTAATGAAATATTTTTCTCTCCATATGCTTCAGGGATTACATGAAAATGAAAAAAGAAAAACATCTTGCCTCAGTGTTACTTTTTAGAACCTCTGTTCTAAGTGCTGCTGTTTCTAAGGTTCAGATGGAGGACAGGAATATTTTATATTATCCCCATTATTAGCTATTATCGTCTGTGTTGGTGATCATGTTTATAAAGCCTTGAAGTAAATAAATGTCTGATTCAATCAACAAAATGGAAAATACAAATCTTTGATTAAAGCACCTTTATTTTACTCATGGTATAGAAAAAAAATGAATTAAGAGAAAATATGCAAGCTTTATTACTTGTCCAACAATTACTACAGTTTAAACCTAGCAAAATATATATTCTTTCCTTTATTTTAATTCATATCATGGTTCAGATCATTTTTCCTCTAGTTGTACTGCTTTGTGTATAACTTTTGACCAGGGGGGAAAGCAGTTTTAAATTCTTGCATGGACTATTTATAAAGCAAAAATAAACTCCCAGAGGCTCTGAGCCCGACTCCTACAGACTGCCCTGCCCTTAGGGTCCTTGATCAATTCCACCTTTGTATTTGAGAATTTGAGCTTTTATATTCATCATCTATTGAATTCAATTAATTTGATTTATATAGAGCCAATTCACAATACGTCATCTCAACTAGTTTACAGAGACATTTCAACCAGATCATACATTCTGATTGGTTTAAAGTTTTCTCTCAAAGGAAAACCAGCTGTTTGCATCGATGATCGACTTAAAAGCAATCCCTCACACCAAGCATGCCTGTAGCGACAGTGGAGAGAAAAACTCTCTTTTAACAGGAATAAACCTCCAGCAGAACCAGGCTCAATGTGAGCAGCCGACTGAGGTTCAAGGAGACAGAAACAGAGATAGAAAAAGACGCAGAGATACAAAAGGCAACTTTCAACCAGCTCCACAGGAAACACACAGCCAGGCAGACGAGCTCCAAGCCAGCTCCCATTTCAGGGGAGGAATAAAGACCACATACAGTTAGTCACAGTCAGAGAAACAGGACTACATTGAAAACAGGCCAAACTCCAACATCTATAAACAAAGGCATTCATAGCAGCAGCTCAGCTGATATTTCTCTCCAGGTTGATTTCACAGCCAAACAGGAACAGACCAGATGAAGCTGCTATGATGAGAAAAGGCAGAGAGCAGAACTAAAAAATACTGCAGAATGGGAGAATAGAGATAGAGTGATGAAAAGGGGTCCCTATGTCCTCCAGAAGTCTAAGCCTATAGCAGCACAAATGGAGAAAATACCTCAGGATAATGTCAGTATTTTTGATGAGCTATAAGAAAGGTAGAGCCATAGTGTGGCCAAGGTAGAGCCACACCCTTTCTTGATTATTCAAGAGAGAGAATAAATGATAAAATAACTATGACTAATATTTGATGATTTCTTTGAAAAAAAAACCAACGCAAAAATGTTCTTAATCTTCATTATTATTTTATAATTTCCAGAAGTTTTTAAAATCCATTCAACTCCAGTAGACTTTGTCAACCCTGCACCCAGATCAGACATTCATCGAATGAACGTGTGTCAGATTTGAGCGCTGCAGACCAGTCTCTATGCTCAGAATGATAACTGTGCCCTAAAGTTGGTGACATAAAATAGCTGATGCACTGCAAAAAAATATAATCTAAATAAGTCATTTTTTCTTAAAATAATTGCATTTTTTCTTGAATTAAGTATATAAGTGAGACACTTTACCAATGGAACAAGACAATTTACCCTTAAAATAAGAAAAAAACAATTGCATTGTCTTATTTCAAGTGCATAATATCTAGATACCTTATTCTAAGAGTAAATATACTCATTCCATTGGCAAATCATCTTATTTACCTGCTCAAATTAAGGGTAAATACTCCTAATTTAAGACATTTTTACTCATTTTGAGGTCGTTTTTGCAGTGTGGCAGGTCTTCCTGAAACTGAGCAACGCCCCTTGAAAATGCAGGACCGTTCCGGCTTACTTTCATCGCTGCTGTTGACACAGAGACTCCTTTCTTTTACTCTCTGGCCCCTAAAATGAACAAAGACCGTAATGTATCTTGACCTGTCTCACAACCATTAAAATTACCACAAACCACAAGTATCAAAGTGTGAACTGGTGGTCAGCTGCCTTTCTGTGAGGCAGGATGTGTTCCCAGCCCAGAAGAAATCAGAGGAAAAGTAACGCTCAGGAAATGCATAATGTCCAAAGGCTCCATGTATCCATAGAGGAGTGCGTTCAGTCCACTGGTTTTCTAGAACTGGATCAGATCTCCCCCATCATCACAAAAGAGAAACAACATGCCAGCATTAACATTACTGTAACTTTAGAACACAAAGCTTAATGAGATTTAACCTCTCTAGTCTTTGAGAATATCTGATTCTGTTGAATGTTGCTAATTTTCAGAGCTGTCAATAGTAATTATGTGTATTGCTCAAGTCAAAGTATAAATCCTACTGTTTAAACACACTTTTGTAGAAGTTAGATGATTAACTTAAGCTTTTTACCCAAGTAAAAGTGTAAAAGTACCATTTTTAAAACTACATAAAGTATAAAATTAAAAGTGATGCAAGAAAAAATGTTAAGGACAGATGTTTAAACCTAATATTGTTTACTGCACTACCATATTAAAGGAAATTTCTTCTACAATTCCCAATGATAACTTCCTTAAACGTAATTTTCTTAGTTTTACAACTAATGGCAACAGTGTCAAACTTAACTTTGCATCATCTTGAAAAACTGTTTATTTTTGTATGCGATGGCCAACAAGTCCAACCACACAGAAATGAACTGTTTAAATGAAACAAAACTCAGGAGTCCATAGCAGGACTCTGATAATTTTATATGAAGTAAGTGGTTATTTGCTCCTCTCACAGTTAGCAAAACCTTCTTAGATTTATTAACCTTTAAGTTATCATAAACTTGTGCCTAACATAGTTAAATTTCTTTCTTTCAAAAGAAACTTCTAAATAAAGGACAGAGTGTGTCAGACCTGAAACAGCGGACAGATCAGAGGTTTGTTCTATTAATGATTAAAAACTTGGATGACTGAGATCTGATTGGCCTCAATAAAGGAATTATTTCCTTAACAGCATTAAAGTCCCAACAAACAACACTTTTCGTTGTCATGGAGCCGACATACAACCAACTGTAAAAGCAAACAATCATAAACATGAATGAATGACTGAGTGAATGAAAAAACGAAAGAATAACCTAATTTCAGACAATCCAGGAAAATCACAGATTTGGATGAAAAAAAAATGTATCATTAATTATTCAGAGAATTGAATTATACGTTAGTATAATTTAGTGCTATAATTTGAAAAAGGCATACGAAGAAATGAAGTATGTCGTCAACAGAACAGAACAGAACATGGCAATTATTACTGATCAGAGCTACTTGGGCCTTTGTAATGTGTGACCAATATGTCAGACTGCATTAGCTTTGAAAACATCTCAGGAACAGTGTTCTGTTTTAAAATGTTGTTTCTTTAGCAGATGTCTCTCTAATAAAATGATCTTAGATTGTTAAATGCATGAAAAAAACAAATAAGCTGGTGTACTTCTCTCACTGACACTGCTGAGAGTCCAGGGAATCTGAGATAGTGGATTCCTCTGGGTGTTCGACTGATCCATAACTCGAACTGGAGCAACAGCACTGCTGCTCTCTAGGAAGGGTAGGAGAATATTCTGCCTGAGGAGGAGACAGGGATGGCAGGGATCCCATCTTTGACCCTGTGGTGTGGTCAGAGCAGCCACTTATAGACGGCTGGTTCTGTCCTTTCTCTGAACAAACCTACAAGTGGTTGGAGACAGAAGGAAAGGAAGAAGAAGTTCAGTGATGGACAATGTCACCCACCCCAGTGCTGGATAATATC